CCCCAAAGAAGAAATTATTGAAATGTAAGTAGAGTAATACTCATGTGTAAGACTTTCCCCCCAACAGCAAACTGAACCAAAGTTGTCCAAGATGAGTCCAGGGATGCCAAATGATTTTTTTTTTTTAAACTGAAGCATCACATCTCACCAAAAACATACTTTGTAAAATCTTTAAATGAGCGAACAAAAACATTTCTCTTACCATTCCCTTTCCTTTGCAAATGTAGGAAAAACATGGAAAAAGCCGGAATAACCGGAGACTTGGCATCCCTGATGAGTCACACAAACACCAGTCGAAAGCATCATTATACATCAAAAAGAGATCAACGTTTTTTTACGTATTCAAATTTCAAGTCACCTTTCTCGTCTTGACAAGTTGCTGCCGCCAGATTCCCCCATTTCTGTCACCTTTTTCGTACTCTTCCCACCCATTCTGTTTGGGTTTTCGATGTTTATGAGGTGCTGGACACCCTTTGGCTTTTCCTATGATGTGGACAAAAAGAGAAACAACAAGGGAGGTTGTAGAATAGTCAATTCTTCAACATTCCGGAACAACAGACACCACTTTCTCACCATAAACAGAAAATGATTCTAAGCACTGAAACCAAGATGGACAGAAAACCAGGCCACAGAATCCACCATCAACTTGTTATTTTCGATGACCATGTTCATCAAGGCATCATCATAAAAATACTGTTGTTCCTACCCATTTTGATAGAAACAAATTAGTAGAAATCATCTATGGACTGGTTGTTTTCTGTGCACTAGGAAAGAAAAAGGAGAAAAATTCAGAAAAATTTAGTAATTACTTTAAAGTCCAGGAAAGGGAGAGACAAGTAAGTATAGAACTACATTCAATTACAGACAATAATTTCATAACCTTTGACCAAGACTTCAGAAAACCATGTGCAATCACAAAATTATCTCTTTTCCAGTGCTTTTGCCATTTCCATGCAAGAATAAAGTAATGCTTTGAACCTGACTCCTTAAAAATATATTTATAACAATGATAAAGAAAAACCTATCAATCGATTTACGGCATAACTTTGAGGAACTTACATCTTCACTTTCACTTGAGCTCTCTGAGCTTGAGTCAGAGGGTGGCATATCCCTGTTCTTGGCACCAGCTGCTGCTTTCTCCCCATCTTTTTCCTCCTCTTCTTCTTCACTCTCAATACCACGTTGTCTCTGTCACAGATACAACAACAATATTAATATTCTACGACAAGGAAAAATTTAATTTTTATAGAATTGCTTCAAAACAAGCTAAAACAAAAGAGAAGTAGTGTAAGAACTGTGGTTTTACATTTTAAAAATCCATCGACAAATAAAATAATATCCTGATGATTTTCATTTACATAAAAGAGCAAACAACCCATACTCTGATAAGGGCAGGATGCATCTAAACTCAGGTCACTTGCATGTAATATGTATGTAACAGTATACTGTGAGAAAAACAAAACGTAAGAATATTTCAGCATTGTCTTTGAGCGAACCTTTCTCAGAAATACCAAAACCATAATAATCATCAAAATAAAGATCATATTATATTCAAGCTAAAACTTGGCAATGATTGGTAATTTCTATGGTCATGTCATGGGATCAATAGATAGTCATCACTTCAAGGCCAGATTGTTTTACAATACACCATGTAATCAACCAATCAGTTGAACCTGCCGTAGTGGTTTCCTCTACATACAGAGTGGCCACTGTTCGGTGACATCATTGTTGCGTGTTTCCTATTCTATTCATTTAAAAAACCCTTTCCATAGTGGTCCCTGCCCAATTCTGCCATGATCTGTCATTTTTGCGTCAGGTCAGCCTCAAACCTACCCACAGCCGTCACTTTCTATAAAAGTGTTCCACCCACCCATCAACAGACAGGGTGTATACTTACAATCAATGCAATGAAGCAATTTAAGATTTTAGACTATAAACCATGTTGACTTTACCAAGTCTAGTGAGTAACCACAACTCAGACCCCATCCATAGTCACTCTTCTTTGTGAACTTGAGTGACCGTAACGGACAAGTTCAACTGTACACACTAAAATAGATATTTCTTTTCCTAATTTCTAAATTGTCCTTAGTTTTAGTAAGAGTTGAACAAATACAAAAAAGGAGGAGAGATATAAGGAAGGTAGATGTTTGATAAGAAAGAAGCAAGCCACACCAGAGCACCCGCCAACCACCATCTGAATCATCTGAATTAGCAACAACTTCTGGGCGCATCTATTGTGGGATCAAAATATTGAGAAGTTCCTTACTAAATATATTCACACTTCACTGAACTTTGCTTCAGAGTTTAAAAAAAATTATGTTTTACCCTCCATTCTTTTTCTCTTTCATTCTTCTGGGCCTGTTGTTTTAATTCATCTTCATCTGTGAAATGTCTGCGTTGACCTTTGTGATTCTTTTTCCCTCCTCGGCCACCTGAAGCACCTCCTCCTGAAAATCACAAAAACGTAGCCATTGACACATATGATATATATATATATATATATCAATCTGATGTGTACATAGAGGCTTGTGAGTTTTTTGGGACAGCATAATAAATGACAAAATGGAACACATTGAAATAATGATGAATGAAAAAACTGAAATTGAAATAGACACTATTCTTGGCTGTGGACATTCAAGAGAAACAGACATAATTAATAATAAATATGTGTAACACTTTGACTTTTGTGTCAGTTGCAATTTCATCGCAGTCTACGTAGCTGATTCTAAGCAATAGCACTTTTAAGGCTAAAAAAGGAATTGTTGCTGATAGTTGTGTACAAGAGAGAAATGTATTGCAGATTCTCCACTTGAGGCCAAAAAAAAAGACTGGTAAAATCGATTGCCTAGTTGTTGACCCTACTTTCATATATATTATTATTATTATTATTATTATGGATGCATGTTTTAGGAAAGTGATGGCACTTGCAACACAACCTGAACATGGTCATGTCATATAACAAGGGCCGGAGATTAAAAGTGTTTTAAAAGAGTCAGAGTAACAAACACAATTTTAAAAGAAAGAAGGAACATAAGGACGATAAATCTTTGATGCAACGATCACTGATAGACAGGGATTAACAATTAAAGCTTTTACCATTAATCAGGACAGACTTGCTGACAGTAAAAAACCCTACACCTTGATCAAAATTATTTAGAGATACTACACTTGCACTGCAGTGATAATCTTAACATTAACTATCAGTCGTACGGCTTAAATATATATTGAACTTTTTTACAAAGAGAAAAGATGACAGAACAACACCAAAGTCAAAAGCTATCAAATACAACAAGAACCAGACATGATACAAAAATTGGTAAACAAGTTCCCCCCCCACCCCCACCCCCCCACAACTGTACTGTCTCAAGAAATCTTATTTTACTAGTCCTCTAGAAAAGCAAAGCAGAGAGGGTAGACTATGTTCCTAAAAATGTCTGCAATTCAGTTTCCCACTTGGAGCGAAAAATAATCCATTTTCTTTCATCTTTTGTAGCAGACTGCAGTGTATAGTCCAAGCATAGAGCTTTGCAGAAAATCGGTACACTTACCAACCCGCTGTAGCGACAGTAGTCACGAGCGCCACTGGGGGACCAACGCAGTCATCGTGACAATATGAATAATCGTGAGCACCGCTCAGAGGATTAAAATTTAGCAGACAGCATAAAGACTATTATAGATCTATATCTAATAGCAACTTTTACTTTTGCCTTTTTTAGAGTAAAATTTATACATTTTTAGACTTTTAACAGATTTCACAACAGTACAATGGGATCGGCTTTGGCTTGATTGAACTTTGTTGGACCCACCGTATTTATGACTTTTATAAATGTCAATGCGCACTAGCCATAACAACAGTGGGGGGTTTCAGGCGGGGCTTGCCCCCCCCCCCCCCCCCCCGCATTATATAATATTTTAAAAATGTAAGTGGCTATTCTCCGGCGTCGCGCCGTCGGTCTATTAAGTCTAATAATTTGTCAGCGCATTTTTGTAGAAATACCTTTCTCATCTGTTTGTCTTGGAAAAAAATTGCCATAACTTCATCACTTCGTGCCACTTCCAATTATACAGAGACGATAGGTTTTCTGACAAAAACTGCCCCAATTCCTCCAATTTAGAATTATGTTGGGTGCTGGAAGAAACGTATTCACAACTATTGACGCGAATTCATTACAAAGAGTGAGCATAAAAAGGAGTCACATTTTCACTGTTTACAAAAATGGAGATCAAATACGACAAGACAGCATTTCAGTCGTGAAATATCAGTTAAATTGATAGAAAATTACAACAGTTCAACAAAAAATAAGTATAACAGCAAGCTATACTATGACTAGACAGGATGTTAGACACAAATTCAATTTTGTTTGTTTAAATTGTTTAAAGGCCACCTCTATTCTCACCCCAGGTGAGAATAGCGCAGGCGAGTCTTTTGGCTATTCTCACCCGGTGGGCGTTCACCGTTATAGCCTAGGCCAACCAGTGAAGCGTTCACCCTGAACCACAGAATTCTACACTGTGATAACAGAATTATAGAATTCTGTGCTGTGAACAAACGTTCTAGATCTATTACTACTGTTAGTGTTAGCCTAAAAGCGTGCAATTTTGTCTGTGGGCAGTGGAGAGAGAGAAAGAGAGAGAGAGAGAGAGGAGTAGCGCGAGAACTTCTGGCCAAAACAAAATGGCGGCCCAGGTAGTTCGCCTCGATTCGGAAATAGGAAAGTTAAATAGCCGTAGCATCTTTGTAGACAATCAAATTAATTTAGTTTTGTTTTTTAACATCATTTTAAAACTTTGTTTTGGTCAATTTGATCGTCCACACCGATACACAGTATTCAGAAAGAGACAGAGAGGGAGATAGAGAGGGGAGGAGTAGATCTTGCGAGAACTTCTGGGCAAAACAAAATGGTGACCCGCGTAGTTCGGCTCAATTCGAAAAGTGAAATAGCCATAGCATCTTTGAAGACGATCAAATTAGCTTACTTTTGTGCTATAACGTAATTTTTTCTTGGCTTTTACAAATTTGATCATCCACACCGATAGACAGTATTCCAAAATGAGGAAAAACAGGTATTGTTTCACACCGGGTGAGAATAGCCTACGCTGGCAAGTCTCACCCGGGGTGAGAGGTAGATCGTATTTTTATTCTCACCCCGGGTGAGAAAAGCCACTTTCTTGTTTAAATTTATTAAATTTTAAAATAAGCAAATGGACGACGGAAATAAATGAATAAGTTATGTTAGACAATTACCATTGATAAAATGTAATGAAAGGAAGACTTACTAGGCCTCTAGTTATGACGCCAGAGAATAGCTTCCGATCTATTGACAGACGCCGGAGAATAGCCACTGGCTTTAAAAATACATAAATATGCAAAACAATACATTTTAAAAGAATAAGAATATAAGACATAATTATATAATAATAAGAGCGGACCATTGCACAGCAAGGCTCAAAAGTAAAAGTAGAATCTAGTTCTGCAGTGCTGGCTTCGTTTAGATCCAGTGTTGGGTCCACCAAAGTTCAATCTTACCTTTATGTGTGTCTTTTTTTATTTTATTGTTGCTAGGGGCAGGCAAGCCCGCCTGAAACTCCCCACTGCCCACTGTTGTTATGGTTATGGCTACCGCTATCAGCCGAATGCGCATTAACATCTTCTAAGGCTAAGTCATAAACACAGTGGGTCCACCAAAGTTTAATTTGTGTTTTGCACATTTTGAGAAACGAAGTGTATACAGACCCGGTAACCGGGAACAAAGTCACGAAGTATACAGACCCGGTAGAGGAACTCTTTTACGTTTGTGATTTCGGGAAGTTTCAGACCTCAGACCCGGATCTTTTGTGTGTGTATGTGTGTGTGTGTGTGTGT